TAAAAGTAAATAAACATTCAAAACATCAAATACATAGATCAAATAAAATACTTTTAAACTCAAATATATAGTGGCATGATCATGGATTGGCTTTGAACTGTTTCTCTCTCTCTTTCTCTCTTTTTTTTTTGTTTTTGTTTTTGCTTTTGCTTTTGTTTTTTGTTTTTCGAGACAGAGTTTCTCTGTAGCTTTGGTGCCTGTCCTGGAACTCGCTCTTGTAGACCAGGCTGGCCTCGAACTCACAGCGATCCGCCTGCCTTTTCCTCCTGAGTGCTGGGATTAAATGTGTGTGCCACCACTGCCTGGCTCGGTTTCTCATTCTTAATAGGTGACAAAGTGACATGAACCAGCAGAACCATAGCACTTTGCCATCTGTGTTCCTTATAGCCTGGGATGGAATGCAGCGCATTTAATCCTCACTCGTAAATCCTTTAAACCCATATTTTAGCCTGGCCAGGTGTATTTCATCACCCTTATTTTAAGATAAGAAAACTGAGCCCTTGAGAGGCTAGTGAACCAGCTCCACCTCCCTGCTGCTAACAGAATCCAAACACTTCCCATTACTGTAGGCCGTTTCCCTTTATGAACTCAGACACAGAGACGGAGTCCTATAACTACTGGAGGTCACAGAGGCAAGCTACTCAGAGGAGACGGCATCTCCGTTTTGTAATAGTGTCTTTAGGAGTGCCTCTGCTCAACAAGGAATTTTCTCAATACCCAGAAATGGGCTAACGCCTAAAAGGGGTGCTCTCATGGTAAAAGCAGGAGAAGAAATAAGATCACATGGCTCACAGGGAATTTAAAGTGTACTATTTTAGTCTACCTTCCAGATCAATGAAATCTAGTAACAATTCCTAATTAAATTGCTCTGTACCCTCATGAAACCCAAACGCCAAGAGGACAGTGCTCAGTGGGCTTTTGTATTTCCACCGTCTGTTTTCTGAAAACGTCTCAATAAAGATCCACTGAGCAAACCCTGGTGTGACTGAGTGACTAAGAATCATATTTGGGTAAGAATTAATAGCTAAGCTTTCCTCTGCCATGGTACTGGCCCTTTAAACCGGGAGACTTTCTCACCAGTCACTAGCCAGAGCTGCTGGCAGTAGCCTAATACCTCTCTCACCCTCTTCCGGCCTCGGTTCTCCCTAATCACTTACCACAGGGTACGATATCTGAAACAAAGACCTCATTCATCATACTAGCCGTCCGATGACAGCTCCCCAAAGTCCCTCCCTCCATTTACCTCAGAGTTTAATGGTCCACCTGAGACCTCGTTGAGACTGTGCCCACAGCCCAAACTTACAGCTGTATTTCTCTCAGTTAAAAGTCAAGCCGGCCAGCAGATGACCTAGACCACATGCTCTGTCCGCAGAGGACCGTTTGTAATTCCTCATATACTCCAGCATGGCCTCCCCTTCTCCACCTGAACTCCAAATTATCCTTCATGACGTAACTCAAATGTCTTGACCGTCACACCCCAGGTGGAGTCTGTTGCCCCTTCTTCTGAGATAAAAGGCACTTTCGTTGCTCTCCTGATCCTCCCGCTTGTGAATTTCCCTGGCTGTCTCCCCAGACACTGAACTCAGAGTTGATGGCTCCTCATCTTTGCATGGGAGGTTCCTAGAGCCGTTCCATGCAGTCCATGGCTGTTCAGGACACAGCGGCTGGACAAGGGAAACTGTCAGTAAGGAATAAGAAAACTGTAATCCAGGCTTCTGTTTTGAAGTTCTCATACAAGCTTCAGATCATAATTTGCCCCTCGGTCACTGTAGATTATTTTTTTTTTCCATGAAGGTGTGATGTGCAGGCCATGTCTTGCGGTCACAAAACTTCTCCCATAAGGATCAGTAACATGACAGTGGTGTCTGTGACCAGGGAAGTCCTCACAGGCTGTCCAGTAGCAAGGCTGATAGAGGCTTACATCTCAGATGGTGCCTCTTGGACCAGCCTGATCTGCATTCACCCTGGGTCTGCTACTCTGTTCTCCTTATAGCAAAAGCTAATTTGTGAAAACAGAGCACAGAGCCCATCATTATGTGAAACGGGTGCTTGTGCTGTGAGTTGCTCAGAGCTGGTCTAGCAAAGCATGTTCTCAATAGGGAGCAGCTATGATAGCTTCTAAAGCCCCATAATGTCAAGCGTCTGAACCAGACCTGCTCCCTGTCAGCTGAGAGCTGTTCCCTCTCCTTTGTGGCAGGGATGGGGATGACGGCAAACTTTCATCTTCCCTGACAGGATAACTCAGACATTTTCCCCAGGGAAAGGCGATTGATCATTAGCTTCTGCTCAAGAGAAACGGGGAGCGCACGGAAGCTCTCACAGAGCTGCATGCTTTGTAGCCGCCTCCTTTGAAAACATGTGAGAACCCACAGGAGCTCTTCAGTAGACAAGGAGGCCGTGTGTGTGTGTGTGTGTGTGTGTGTGTGTGTGTGTGTGTGTTTTCCTGAAGGCTTTCTGGTAGTCCTATGACGGAAGGCTGTCTCTGCTCCACAATGAAAACTGGCAAAACTCTCCCCACCTCCCTAAGTGCAACCCCAAATTAGCTTCTCTGCTACGGGATAGTCATTAACATCCAAGGTTTCCCAAAGACAACAGACCTACAGTGTCCATGTTGGTAGGTCCTGTAGTGCCCACTACAAAGCTGAGTAATATAAACATCCTCAACAAATGCATTGCTATTGTTTCAAGCACATGGAGTCAAAGGAACGAGGGAGATTAATTTTATGAAGTCAACTTCTTTTCAGTCAACTATGTAAAAAGCCACCATTGATTGATAGTCGGGCACCATTCCATTGGGGTGACCTAGATAACGGATAATTCTCTATAGCCAGTGACATACTGATTCTCTGGCAACCTGAAGCTGGTCCCTAATTCCTGCTAACAAACTATGTTCTGGCAACAAGAAAGAGATACAAAACTTGCAAAATCAGGATGACAAGTCAAGCCTGAGAATCCATAAAGTAAAGGGTCTTAGAAAGGAAGCGTTTAGAGAAATCCTTATCTGCTAAGAGTATAACTCGGATCTACGTTATTGTCAGAAAATGCTGGAGCGCTAATTGTTAACTTGACAGAATCTAGCTAGAATCTCCTAGGAGATGGGCCGCTGGGCATCCCGGGCATGCTGGGCATGCCTGATAGGCAATTAGCTTGATTAATTGATGTAGGAAGACATATCTTAATGGTGGGAAAGATGATTCTCTGGACAGAAGAACCTGACTGTATAAGCTGACAGAAGGGGCTGAACACTACGTGCATGAATTTGTTGCTCTCTTCTTTTGACTTTAAATGTAATTTGACCTGCAGCTTCAAGTTCTTGCTGCCTTGATTTATCATGATGGACTGCATCTTAAGCTCTGAGTCAAACCCAGGACAGATGGTTAGAATCAGTATATTATAAAGGAAATCAGGACCATGTTGTATTGCATTCTTTAAAAAAAAAACTTTTTCATTACATTTTATTTATGTGTGTGCATCCATGCATGGGCAGGCTTATGTGACACTGTGCCCACGTGGAGGTCAGAGGACAATTAGTGGATATAACTCTGTCATATGGATCCTGTGGATTGAACTCAGGTTGTCAGTTTGGGTGGCAGATGCCTTTACCCATGGTTGTGGTTAGTTTCTTGTCAGCTTGACACACACTGGAGTCATTTAGGAAGAGGGAACCTCAACGGAGGACAGGCCTCCATCAGACTGGCATGTCGGTGAATCTACAGGACATTTTTCCCATCAGTGACTGATGTGGGAGGGCCCAGCCCATAATAGGCAATACCACTTGGAGGCCGGTGGTCCTGAGTTGTATGAGAAAGCAAACTGAGCAAGCCAATGAGGACCAAGCAAGTAAACAGTGCCCCAGGTCTCTGCTCCAGTTCCTGCCTCTGGGTTCCTTCCTGAGCTTCTAGGCTGATTTCCATTCACGATGGACTGTAATTGAGATGAGGAAGCCAAATAAACTCTTTTTCCCCCACGTTGTTTTGGTCACGATGTTTTATCACAGCAATAGAAAACAAATGAAGACAGCCACTGAGCCATCTTACTGTGCCTGTGTTCTTCTATTACAGAGCAGATGCCAGGCCTGCAAACTCATACTCAATGGTTTTCTCAGACACACGGTGATGAAGGACTGAGGAATGACGCACGTTCGTTATTATATGCCTTCATTTCTTTCCTCAGAAATTGCACTTTCTTTCTCCTATGGAAAAAATTTCTATTATAGCTACAGTTCACAGCTTTTTAATTAGTGTGTATTAATTTTATATAATGGGTTTCATTATATTTTCATGTATGAATGCAATGTATTTTGAACATATTTGCTCTCAATTGCCCTCTCTTATTCCTTTTTGCTCTCACTTAGCACCTCCCTTTGCTCAGTTCATTCTTCTAGAACTTTCCTGTCTCTGGTCTCTTGGATGACCTAGTGAGTGACATTAGGGCAGCTTTCAGTAGCACGAGCAAGGGCTGTTTACAGGGTACCCCTCCCACCCACACACCATCCACTCTCTGAGTCTAGGTCTTCAGGGAGTGGGGGTAGGGCCTCATGAACTCTTTGCACTCCATGACAGGTTATTGTCCGGCTCCATCTCTTGGAGCTCTTGGGCCGGTGATCACAACTGTCATGAGTTCAGGCCTGTTCCTGCTTGGCCTTTCCCTGCAGTCAGTCATCCACACCACCCCTCTGACTGTTAAATTCTTTACAGCCCTTCCTCCTAGAGAGCCCAAGAGTCTAGTGGGTGGTCTGTGATATAGACGTCAGTTCGCAGGGGGACGTTTGTCTGGTGTTTATTCTCCTCACAGTCACAAGTTATGACTGCCGTTCCCTCCTGAGGATGTTTCATGGAGTGGAGCTGGTAGCGCAGTAACTTTTGGATGTGGATTATTTAGAAATCGCACAATGTACACATCAAGACTTATAGACGGTTTTGCACCAATACTATACTATCCGTTTTCTGGGTCTTTATGTCCAGTAGAATAAAAGAGTTATTTATCTTATTATGTTTAGAAATAAAGATGATGAAAATGATGAAAGAAGCCAATATTTATGTGGTGACCAGTCTTCTGGTGCATTGGTAAGATTCCTGGGGATAATCAACCTAGAAGGAAAAAGGATTTAATTTAGCTCAAATTTGGGAGGTTTCAGTCTTGACTTGTTCCTTTGTGTCTGTGGTAAGAATGTATGACGAACTCTGTGGCAGAAAAGGGTGTTTAATTCATGGTGGCTGGAACAAGAGATATAGGAAGAGGCCAGAATCCCAATATTCCTTTCAACTGCATGGCCTCAGGGGTCTAACTTCTTTCCCCCAGGCCCTACCTCCTGAAAGTTCTGTTGCTTCTCAATCAAGCCTCAGGCTCCTCACCACACCTTCAGCATGAGAGCCTTTTTGGGGAGACCTTCAAAAATCCAAACTAGGGCAATTTATTTTGCTCCACTGTGAACCATGCTCTCTTTGGTTTTGTTGGTTGAGATCCATCTCCTTGCATCTATGCTTGTATTTCGGTCTACTAACATTAGGAATAGCATTATCTGTGAAGTCAACAGTTGCGGGCAACTTCAGTGGTTTGTTTTCCTTTGGGGTAACCTAAGAGCAAGGGTGGGTCTGATGGAGACACAGATACGATCTTAGTTTATCTTTCCCTTTAATTTTCGTGAGCCTGTTTGACCAGTTGGGGAGTGTCAGCTCATCTGGTGATGTATTTCTCTCCAGGGTCCTGTGTAGCAATGGCTAGGTTCACAAGTTCCCATTTGCTTGCACACTTAAATTTTCCAAAGCCCTGATTTTGAACAGTGACTCACGTAGTGATGATGACCATGGGGAAAATGGAAGCATGGTGGCTTCCATTCCGGGACTCCTTCCGGGACTACAAGGGGATTCATAGACAACGTATTATTAGAATAATGAGAAAACCCACATGCCGTTAACATGTTCCGAATGAACTCTTTAATGAGCATGAGAGGCCTTTGATCATTTCCAACTTCTTTGTCTGTATCTGTTGAAGGTAGGTGGGTTCTACCATGCATGGATTTGAAATCTTGGCACACTGTGGAAATAGCAAAGGAGAAACTGCAGGCACTCCAAAGGCTTAAAAACGAATTCCAGACATCCTCAAGAAACTCCCCCTCATAGGAAAATTATTAGCTGGTGAGTAACGCGAAGGCCTTCGAAGCGGATCCCCGTTACATGTCTCAATGTCTCCACTGTTTACTTTTTCAAACGAGCCTTTCTCATGTTTCTCGTGGACTCCCAAACACACAGAATGGCCCAACAAAAACAACTGCTCTCTCCACCTCCCTTTTTCTACCAATCCTCATCCTCCCTAGCTCTGTTTTGGCATTTCCCTAGGGGTGTCAGCTTCTCAGAGAACTTACCCTTGGTCAGTAGATATTGGAAGGAGTTGAGCGAAGGCAATAGGAGGTTAGGAAGCCAGAAAACTTAGTCCTTGATGCCCCTCACTGCCTAAAAATATTCTAAAATGGCCTAGATTTCTAAAAACCTGTAACATTTCCTCCATAGAGAAAGCAGGGCTCTGCAGAATCCCCTCCCTTCTCTGACTACTGCAGGGATCCTAGGTCCTGGCTTGCAGGGGTAGCTGATTTCCCCGTGGTTGGTGGGCATTGAGTCAAGATGGATCAATTCCCAAGCACTCTAGATGTATGTGAAAGTTCTCAGCCTCTACCGGGCAGTTTGTCTGCCAAGTGGTACGAGAAAACTTGTGAGAACAGGTTTTTCTGAGGTAGTTGATGCATCTGCATCCATCCCTGGCAGGAAACCAAAGCAAAAAAAGAGTCGAAGCCACCTTCTAGAACAGTGTAAGGGGCTTAATGTGAACTCCCAGCTTGGTGATTATCCCAACGAGTTGTGGTTTTCCCTGACGTTCCCGCGGGAGTCCTCATGAGACTTCTATGCTCCTCCAGCCAACTCCAGCCGGCTGAGACTCGGGCCAGCCTTGTTCATCTGGATGGATTGTCAAGACCTAGCAGTTGAGCATGAGCAACCTGTGGCCTGAAAGGTCCTTTTCAACCATGAAGCTGTCGTGGGAACTCAGCCATCTCGATAGCGACAGGTCTGTAGATGGCCAAGGCCTTTCGTGTGAGCCCTCCCTTTAATATTAGGGGGGAAAGTTTCCATCTGTTGTAAAGGCATTGATTATAATAGCTCAGTTAAAACACATCTTCCCTCCAGTAGGAAATGGAGTCACGAGAGAAATCTCTGTTCTTGGCTTCCTTTGGGAAGGAACTCGCTGTCTTCCTTTCCAGGGAAGGGATAGAGGTCTTGATAGTCAGATCATAAGTGGCTTTCATCTTTGCTAACCCCTCCACTTAGATCCAAGAGAACATCTGTGAAGACTGTTCGTCTCTAGGAAGCTGGGTTCCCCCATAACCTCGCCTTCTCAGTTCTGCTTAGAAAAGCCTGCGGGAGACCAGTTGACCAACACTTGTTTTGTGGAGGGCTAGGACTTTTTTTTTTAACACAACCTTTGCCTCTGTGAAAGCCTCCAGATTACCAGCTAGTACAGAGATATGTAATGTTATGCTGTTTGTCTCAGTAAACCTGAAAAACAATGCTTTGAGAGAAAACGTAATCTCTTGTTACGTAATTGATGAAAATAACAATATTTCAATGATGTTAACTTGCATCAAAAAGGTCTAGATCTTGGATTAGGCCTCATACTTGTTGGCTCATTTGAAAAGGTGTAAACCTACCATACCTTTGCTACTCCAAGCCCCATCTGGGAATGTTGACATTGTGTGGGGGTTGGTTAATGAGTTAGAAGCCAGGCACATGTCAGAATCAGATCCCAAGTGACCTGTGTGTATATATTCAAGTGCGTGGTGTCAAGTCTTACTCCTCCACATAACTGCTTCCAGCCAAGGGGAAGTTCAGCTGAGGCCTCAAACACAGGGTGATCCAACAAGATGGATGTCTCCTCTGATGTGAACATCAGGCAGGCTCAGTTTAATTTTTGTATTATTCATCTCCCCTTAATTCCAAGATTCAAATTTCCCCAACTTTTCCAAATCTAGCGAAAGAAAATCTCAATCTGTGCCCAGTTCATCTCAGGGGAGAGTGTTCTTGTGACTGTTTTGAAGGTTTCTAATGAAAACAAAGCAGGCCATTATTTCTGTTAATATGGGAATCCTAGCTGACATAATTTGGAGAGAGTCCACTTAACTGGATTACTATTACTATTGCAGATACTCATGGGTAAGAATTTGTTGTTGTTGAGCAAATCTGCTTATGATAATTGGTGTTTACAAAGGACCAGGAAAGGTAGACAAGAGAAAGGTGAAAGCCCCCAGGGAAAGAGGGCTCTGCTCCACTCCCTTGCCTGCCTCCACAAGCAAATGCTACACTGCCCCGCCCGTTTTGTCTTTAATGTGTCATTATTTCAATAAAACTGTGTCTGGGATCTTCTCCCCTTTCCGCCTTACAAATTCCACAGAGGTTTCATTAGGAAAGCAAACGGTGAGATTTCAGAGACTGGAGAGGTCCAGTTACCCATGGCCCCCGACATCACCTGCCTTCCTGCAGCTGGCATTTCACTGGGTCCAGAAATACTCTCTGATGTTTGAAGAATCTCTGTGTGCTTGGTTAAGAGTCACAAATGCTCCTGGACATGCGTGACATCTTTGGAAAAAAATGTAGTCTGGTTTAACTTTAGTCTGGGCCTTAGGACTCAAAAATTCAGACTCTACATGACAACGTGACACCTGCCCCTCCCCAGGAGAGCTTGTGTCTACCTCCCATGGTGAGTGCCCAGATCTACGGAAAAGGTGATCTGGGACAAAGGTCAGACTTCTCTTCTATGCAGGTTGCCACACCTGTGACTCAGAGGCGTGCCTCTAGATGCTAAGCCAATTCTCCTTAAGTGAGAGGTAATTTTAAGAAATAATAATAATATTATTGTGTTTATGTGAATCAAGGCATACATGCCATGACCCACATATGGAGGCCAAAGGACAAGCTCTCATGAGTTGGTTCCCTCCTTCTACTGTGGGATCCTAAATTAAACTCAGATTGTCAGGTGTACCTAGCAAACACCCTTTCAGCTGAGCTGTGGCATGAGATGAATTTTAATAGCGTCTTCTCATACTTGAGGTAGTTATTCAGAACACTTGTCCAAAGTTTGGACCCCAGGTGTATTATTCAACACTTTTCTATTCTGGATCTCTGATTATGATTTATTTATTTATTCATTTATTTACTCATTTATCTATTTGGTGCTAATACAACTTGGTCACTTTATAAACCCAAATTCGATGCACTCCATTTCATAGCACATTGATTCTACTTCATAGACCTCTAGGTATTTCATAAATATCTTCTACTTCAAATCTTCATGTCAGTATAGACAGAAAGCTCTTAAAATCCCACCCCTCTGTTTGTTATTCCTGGGTAAGTTAAAGCCACTCCTTGACCATTCAGCCTAACTGGAAAGCTTATGTAAGGGACTCCTTTGAAGGAAACAAATCTGAAGATAGCCAAAAGTCTATGTGATACATAAACCCCATCCAAAAAAATGGCGATGTTTAACATTTCTGTCTTAGAATTTACCACCAGACACATATATAAGAGTTTTTTGCCTTTATTCTGAGTTTGCTTCCTTTAAGAGAAGATTCCAAGTAAATATGCCCAAGGCTGGCCTTGAACTCTTTGTGCAGTCCTGAACGTCAGAGAACTCAAATTTCTCCTGTCTTAATCTCATGTGTGCTGAGAGTACACACGCAGACTAATGTATTTTAAGTACTTTTTTAAGAATAAAAATAGAATTAGCATAGTTTCCTCTTACCCAAAATTTCACTTTCTCCATATTCAATTAGCCATGGTCGATCAGTATTAACATAATGGAAACTTAGAATGTTGCCCTGTTCTGTCCTGCCTGAGACATGGCTCCATGTTGTATATGCTCTCCACCCGTGAGTTGCCTTGTAGCCATCTCAGTTGTCAGAGCAGTTGCTAAAATATGGAAGTGCTTATGTCAAACAACTCTTAGATTTCTTAATGATGTTCCAGAAAGCACAAGAGTAGGGCTGTTGATGGTCCAGATATGCCAAAAAGAAGCAATAAGGTATTTTAATTTTATTTAGGTGCCCTCTCACTATGTAGCCCAGGCTAGTCCTGAACTTTCGCTGTGTAGCTTGTGATGAGACGATGGGTATATACCACTCCATCTGACCTTGAGGTGCTTCCTTCAAGAGAAAGGCAAAAAAAAAAGTCCATATAGGCAAAACATATATGAAAGACCTGATACAAGCTATGGGTTCTCTGACTCACGGGGCAAGGGATCTTAGGACAAAGTCTCTGGGGTTTAAGGGGGTGATTACTCTCCACCAACAGACAAATTGGATTATTGCTTTTCAATCCAATTAAATTTTCCAGATCACATTTCAGAGGCCTCATTGTTTACCTGGAGGAGTTCGCTGCAATAAACACCATACTTGGACTGAACAGCTACTGACTTGCCATTGAACTCATAGTAGGCGCTCAGCAACTATTCCTGAATGTTTCGTCATGCCCTCTGTTCCTGCCTTACCAACGTGTGTCTACTATCTGAGTTGTCTTCCAAAAGTCTCCAAGGTGCTCCAGATGATGTAGAGTTTCAGACTAAGCCCTTAGTAATTCTGTCCTAAATTAAACACGCTGGCTGACTTGGTTCAGGCTGCTACCTTACAGCAGCTGCTTCCACGGCGAGACACCCAGCAGCGGTTCTATGTAAGAAAAAGGGCCTAAGCAGAGAACACTTAGAAGGGAACAAAAGCTAATAGCACCATGTTTGCCAGTGACATCTTGGAGAACCCATGGGTATTAAACAGAAAACGAAGAGCGCCAATATAATATGCCCTTCATTCAAGTGCACATGAGCATACACCAAAACACGGCAATCCCCTTTAAGCGGGAATATTTGTGGTGGAAATAATTACTGTATACTTATTACTGTTGGAGCTGTGACCCAACAGGGGAATAGGGTAGAGCTGCTGGGGAGCCAACGGGCATTCAGCAATTTACAAAGGTCTCAGTTTGTTCTACCTGGAGAGAGGGGTGTATATTTTCAAATATCACGTTTAATTAACACTCGAGGAAGGGAATGAAACGGCTCACACCAGTAATCCTAGGCAGCCTTTGTATGGAACAGATGAAGGGGAAAGAAATGTGATTAGGCGCTGGCCTTAAGTACAGTTTCCGTAGATTTTTGTTCCTCTCTTTACCGTATAATAACATGGCTTAAAATTAGTTCTGACAGCTAATCAGAGTGAGTGGCCTTTTCTTTCCCTGGAGCAGTTAGCGAGTGCTGTGCATTGTGCCAACAAATCACACTGCGGCGTCTGTGTAGGAAGAGAAGGGGATTGACTGGTTGGTTCCTCCATGGCGGGAAGCTCTGAAACTCCTTTGTCAGAATCAGAGCCTTCTGGGGTATGCGAGGCTGCCATGGCCCACGGGAGTCTGGAGTCATCCTAACCCCATCACTGAATAGAACAGTTCTTCCTTCTCTTCTGGCTCTAACATCCCACCCCATCCTTCTCCGCCATTTCTCCCTCAAATACTTCTGCCTCTGTGGGCTCACTGGAAATCTGTCCTCTAGAAATAGACTGACGGACTAAATTTAGGCTGTTTGGTGAAGGGTGGGAAGAAAGAAATAGAACGAACGGCCTTTCTAAGAGAAGGGCTTGGGAGCCAAGAGGTTGTCTGAGACTGAGGCTAAACACCTGTATTTACCTGGGACAAGTCAGTCAGATGAGTGGCAAGGTGAGTAGCAAGGCTCTCTTTCCTTCGCCAAGATCTGTCTGTCTTACTCTTATCCAAAGACAGATATTTGTTTCCCCAAATTCAGAATCTCCTTCCTGGTTTGGGAGGCAAGAGAACAATCATTGCCCAAAGGGAAATGACGGCCTGGGATGAAGGTCAAGATCTCTCTGTGTTCCCAAATGAAAGCAACAACAAAGGTTCCTTTGGTTGCAGTACCTGGTCCCAACACAGTCCACAAGCCTACCTACCCCAGAGCCAGGCCACATTCAAAATCCTAAGTACCCATGAGATCAGTTCTAGGTATCTCCTCTCTAAGGAGAGGATTAGGGGAATGGTTCTGGGCTTAAGATTCAAACAAGGCCAGCTGAGGCCTGAAATGTGGGCAGGTCCCCTAAGCCAAAAGTCGGTAGGTCGAAGTGAAGATGCTTGGGGGGCACAGTCAGGTCCCAGGAGGTTCTTGACTGGATTTAGGGAATCCCTTTAAAGTGTTTTGTGAGGGGAAAGAGGAACTCTTGAGTTCAGTAGTTTAAGAGTTTTACTGGGATTAGAGTACAACTGTCCTGGCTTCTCAGGGCTGTCTGCGACCATGGCCCTGCAAAAAGAGACAAAAAAAAAAAAGCAAAGCTTCAAATCACTTTTTAAAAGGCACACCTGGTATTAATTATAACCAGACATGATGACACACACCTTAAAGCCCAGCTCTTGGGAGACAGAGGCAGGCAGATCTGAGTTCAAGTCCCGGCTTGTCTACATAACAAGCTCCAGGCTATCTGGCTACATAAGACCTTGTCCCAACTGAAAACAAGCAAATCACATTAAAAATCAATCGTGATGACACACAGCCAAGCATTTCAGAGGATGGAGCAGACGGTTCTTGAGTTTGAAGCCACTCTAGACCATTCTATAAGACTTTTAAAATGCCAAAAAAAAAAAATCAAAACAGATGAAACTGAAAGCATAGGCTCCATCTTAGTTGAATTGATAGTTTCCTTTCTCATTGGATAAAAATATACATTAAAACGTAATTGAGTCATTTTCAGTGTGTGGCTCAGTGGCATCAAATGTATCTGTAAGATCATAAACTATCAGTGCTGTCTCCTTCCAGAATGATTTCAATACTCTACAAGAAAACTGTGCACAGTCAGCCTCTCACCATTAGCTGACTCCTTCTAGTCCCTACCCAGGACCCATCTGCTTTCTCTTATCTGTTTGTGCTGGGCATTTTGTTGCCATGGGCTCATATTAAGTATAAGTTGCTTCCTGTCTTAATTCACAGAGCACCACGTCTTCAAGGTCGCTGGTGTTTCAGAATGTCATCCGTGCTTCACTCCAGTACCTGTCGTCAAGACCCTGTTTTATTTATGTGTGCAGCAGTCGGGGAATATTTGGGTTAGTTTGATGTGGGAACACTCTTATGTGCACTTGTGTGCAACTTTTTAAAAAATTATTGATTTTACGTGTATTTTGCCTACATATATGTCTACATATCACATGTGTGCCTGGCATTCTTGGAGGTTAAAAGAGGGCATCTGATCCCCTGGCACTGGAGCAATGGACAGATGTGAGCCACATGTTGGTGCTGGGAATCAAACCCAGGTCCTCTGGGAGAGCAGCCGATGTTCTTCACCACTGAGCATCTTTCTGTGCAACCTCACACTTGGTTTCCTGTCTTCAATTCTTTGGCCAACCCTAGGAGTGGAACTGCTGAGCTGCAGCATAATTTTATCTTTAGTATAAATAAGTGGTCACATTTTCTTCCACCAAGGCTGGTGCAGTCTCAGCATTGGTGTATGAAGGTGGCAGCTTTGAAACACACACACACACACACACACACACACACACACACACGTTCATCTGCATTGTTGCCATCACTGCCATCATTCCAGAGGAGAAGAGCTGTTTCCTCACCCCTTTGGTGTGCATGTTCTGTAGAACCATTGGTTCTGAGAGCCTATGCTGTGCGACTGCTGGCTATCGCGATGTTTTCTTTGCAGAAACGACTTTTCAAGTTCTTTGCTTATTTTACTATTGTGCTGCTGAGTTGCAGGTATTTATGAATTTTGGGTACTCGTACTCGGCCCTTATCAGAACATAACTTACAAATATCCTTTATTTCTGTGGTTTGTCTATTGATTATAGTCAGATCGGTGGGATTTTTTTTTAAAACAAAGATTCATTCATATTTATTTATTTATGTGGATCAATACTTTGCTTCCACTGCCAGTTTGTCTGGTATCCATGGAGGCCAGAAAAGGATGCTGTATGCCCTGGGGTTCCACGCTGTGGGAATAAGGGATCTGAACTCTGCAAGAACGTACTTAACTGCTGAGCTGTCTCTCCAGCCCCCACATTCTTTCTGAGGGGCGGTGGAGGTTTGAGACAGGGTTTCTCTGTGTAACAGCCCTGGCTGTCCTGGAACTCACTCTGTAGGACCAGACTGACTTTGAATTCACAGAAATCCACCTGCCTCTGTGTCCCTAGTGCTGGGATTAAAGGTGTGCGCCATCACCGCCCAGCAGAGCATCTTTTGTTTTTAAAAGGGTAGATGTTGAGCAAAGCCCTCAGGTGCTGCCGAAATGAGTTTCAAGCAGAGAGGTCTCCTCGCATCAATTCCTTCTGTCCTGGTCTCTCCTAAGCAGCCCACACCCAACTTTTCTCTAATAACTATGAACCGCATACACGGTGTGAAGATTCTCGTCTAAGACACAAATGTCCTCTGTGTGTCTTCTGTCTGTGTGGGTGCCCTGCCTCGTAAGTGATAGTACTTCTGTTTTCCAGGTGGTGAAACTGAGGAACAAATACTTCAGTGAATGCCCCGAGGTCTTGCTGCTCATAGCAGCAGAGTCAGGATGCGAACCCCAGTCTATCCAGCCTGACAGCTCGACCAGCCCATCCACAGTTCGTAAGCTGCTGTTCTTGGGCGCCACAGTGCCTCCATGTGCGGGGGAAGCCTTTCTGCTCACAAGGAGGAGGGTCAGAAGAGGGTTCAGGTCTCTGGAGCCATCATACACCCCAACCACGGCAGCTTTGCTTTGATTTCTCTCATAATTTAGGACTCTGGAATCAGATCTTGGTTGAGAGAAAAGAAAGGAGGAGGATGGCGCTTTTAAAAGGGCTTGGAAAATCACAGCGAACTCCCGCCACTTTGTAGACCAAATCCCAAAGCCCTTGTCACTTCCCGTGACGCAGAGGTTTCAATAAAGGACACCCGGTTCTAAGCTGAGAGACAGAAAGGTGGCATTTGTTTGGGCCCGCCCACACCTACACATGTGCACACACGTATCCACACAGTCCCACATCCTATCTTTATCCCCCGATTCATGCCCGTTTCTGGCCCAGGACAATGCCAGCTGTAGAAGGAGTTGCCTCCAAACTCCCACTCACTAGGAAAAAAAAAAATAGTGGCCTCACCCACACTTCCCGGCAGTCCCAGTTGCCACCATCATCAGTCAGGTATGCTGCCTGCTCACCTGTGAAAGGCGTCTCAGCAGCCAAGCCATTCTCCAAACCAAAGCTTCCCGTCTCATTCTTTGCCTTTCCATGAGCAAAATGAGTTACCACCAGCCCCCCGGGGGGCCTTAGCTTTTCATCATCTCTAGTGATGAGGCTGAAATCCAGGACGAGCCATCCCGAGGAACCCTGCCTGACAAGGTGAAGCCAAGTCCCAAGAGAAATAGCTTGCAGGTGAGTGTCCCTCCTTCCTGCCTGGCTGCTGGCCAGGACAGAGAAGGCCGAGAGAAAGGAGGGGAGGGGCCAATGGACCACCCACTCCCACAGGACAGTTTTTATCTTCCAGAGAGCGCTCATCTTAGTAGGGCAGGAAAATCCCCAGGCCACTGCAAATCAGGTTGGATCTCTGCGTGTTTCCTTGGTGGAAGATCCAGGTAGCTAAGGTGAGTTTTGTGTATGAGGTTCAGCAGCCTATGCAGATGAACGGTCGCTGGGAGGGTGAGACTTTGAAGTGGATGGGGGAGGGCGGTAGATTTTGTGCAGCTCCCTAGAACCATATCTTGATTTTTCTGAACATTTTCTATGTGCCAATAAATCACTATCAGATGTCTGCTCAAATATAATTCAAGTGTGAGATTCCATGACAAGGTTCAACACTATTAACTATTTTGGGAACGATGGGAAGAGGTATTGGAGAGTGTCCCTGCCCACTAGGTAAGTTGGATCCGGGGCAGAATATCTTTTCATCTCTATTCCTATCTTCGACTAAACAGTGCAAAAGGAAACTTGTTTGTGTGTCACCCCCAAAAATTCCCCAACTGGCTATGGGCATCTAGCCACAATTCTCTAGCTAGATAGTGATTTCTGGTTCCTTAAAGAAAGAACCAGGGCAGACAGGGACTCACAACCCTCAGCTAAAAACTGCAGAGTCACACGTGGCAGGAGGCTGTTCTCAAGAGCGTCTCCAGTGACTTGCCTGGGCACCGCTCCTTCTCTAACGCTGCCTAAACTTTTTCCAACTCCCAGTTATAGTAAGCTCATTAGCCAACTAACACTGGACTCGTGGGACTGAAAAGGACCCTGGGAAGACATACCTTGTATGACAGGCTCAGCTGCAGAGTGACCGACCACTCTGGAAGACCCAACCCATACCCATCAAAGTACCTAGGTGTGTCTCGCTGCCTCCAGCCACCATACACACCCACACTAGCTGTGTTCAACCCGCCCACCCTGAGTGGCAGCTCCAGTCCCCAGACACACCTTTCCCCATCTTTCTTCTGAGCAAAGCTTAGAAACGCAAGTGTAATGTATTCCTGTCTTTGCAAGGGGAAAAGTCTTAGAAAGAGTAGAACAGGAAGAGACTGTTAGGGCAGACAAGGCTGCCTGATTTCCAAGATCTCAGATCCTCTGACATGCTGCGGGGGTTAGTCCTTCAATGGCACATGATTCATCTGGGAGCATGGGGAAGAGTAGAGAAAGCTGAACACCCCCTACACACCACACACACATACACACACACACACACACACACACTCAAAATGATGGGAAAATGCTATTGACTCTATCATGACAGTTAGACATGCATGATGTCTATCTGCTACACCTGTAACAGCTCTTTGGGTTCTCCAGGGATGAAATTAGCTGATAGAGCACCTGCAGAGTACAGCAGGGAGCGGGGATGTGTTTGCATGAGTGCACATTAGCCCCAGAACGAGTGAGGTAGCACGGGATAAGGAAGAACAGCTAAGTGCAATAGGAAGAGACACTGTGATGTTTAAGATTGTCCTTGCTTTTAGTTTTTCTGTTTTGTTTTGTTTTGTTTTGTTTTTAGAAGGTACATACATAGAGCAGACATCAGGGATGCTGGATAGGTGTTCTGGGGATCTGGGTTAGACTATCTTCAGGATTCTGTACCAGGTTTCAATGAAAGGAAAATAGAGATTTGTTTACACTTGAGGATATGTATTATTGAAATAACGAGACAAGAAGTAATCTTTGTTCACATGAAATGAGCCTCCCAAAGTCCTGCTCTTACTAATGGAACCTCATAACACAGGCTGCGGGCAGCATGTGGATGAGAGTGCACACAGTCGTACATGTGTTAGACACTGAGAATGCAGTCAGAACACACACGCTCACTCCATTAGCTACAGCATCCAAATGAGTATGAACAAAGAGAAAGAGCTTGAACTTGCTGGCTGATTATGCTTATTAAATTTGTAAAAGATTATTCCTCTCTTGATCATTTCTCAAAAGGAATAAAGATGATGGGTGTTTAAAAATTACACTAGGTTTTTGTGAAGAAAATACAACTGAAATATTATATTATTTCGATTACATATCTGTGCATAGCTTCATCAGTCCACTACCCAGGACCCTACTTTCTGAAGGCCCGTGTTCATGCTGGAATGTGGACAGGGAGAATGTCCTCATCTGCATCTGTAGACTAGTCTTGTTAATCTGAAGGAAATCTGACTGTGGGAATCAACAGAGTTGTGGCATTTTGCAAGCAGTGATTTCAACACAACAACGGTGTCTGTCCCAATAGCTATCCAAGTTATCTGGAAAGGAATGAGCAAATCTTTGTAAAAATAAACAAAGTATTTAAGAAATGGCTTCTGGGAGATTCTCTCAAGAAACCCACACCCGCGCTCTCTGGTGTCATACTAAATGTCTCTTCTTGCCTCTTATGCTTAAAATCTATATCAAAGCATCTTTATTAATCTCACATATATATGCACAGTATCTTAAAGAATATTCACAATATTCACTGCAATGTTTGCCTTTGGGGAAGGAAGTTTTACTTTCTTTATTTAAAATATACGTTGGAGTTTTGCCATGGGTGTTGGATCCCCTGGAACTGGAGTTACAGACAGTTGTGAGTTGTCATGTGGGTGCTGGGAATCGAACCCAGGTCCTCTGGAAGCAGCTAGTGCTCTCATCCTCTGAGCCATCTCTCCAGCCCCAGGAGGTAAGTTTTAATGCTGAGGTGATGGATTAGAAGGAGAGTTTCATTTTAACGTAAACCCCCTTTGCATATTTTTAGTAATTAAACAACACGTCTTGAGTTCCTACCCAAGGAAAAAATATTGATTCTTTACTTTTGTTTGTTTCAAAACAAGGCATCTTCTGTAGCCCACTATGCCCTGGGACTTGTTATTCAATCTGCCTGGGGTGTATTTAAGGTCTAGAGAGTAGGTTCAGCTGTGTGGAGTCTATTGCTAAGCCTTAAAAGCTTTTAAAAAATAAGTGAACCAAGCCACTGTTCACCTGAAATAATTTCCTTGAAGCATGAGCACATTTGTACACCATACAGTGTTTGTGCTCTTGGTCAGGAGTTTCAGTAACGAGATCTTGGGATCAAGATTCACACTTGACGTAAGTCTCATTAGCCATGAGCCAAAATTTCCAACTGAAACAGTTCGTGTTACCCCATCCCCCCACCCCGAGGCACTCCCTCCTTTCTTCCCTCTCGTCTTTTTAGTATTTTGAGACAGAGTTTCTCTCTGTGGCCCTGACTGTTGTGAAACTCACTTTATAGACCAGGCTGGCCCCAAACTAAGATATCCACAGTCCTCTGCCTCCTGAATGCTGGGATTAAAGGTGTGCCCCACAGACACTTGGCTCAACGGAAGTATTTCTTTATGGAAAAGGCAACAATAGTGCACTTGTACAAATTGAGAAGTACTTCTTTGTAGGTATAAGACTTAAATGATAATTTCTAAAAGACTATTTAGTTTATTTGGGATAGACATACTCAAAGCAAGTTTCTTTGAGAGAGAAATGGAAAATTAATCGTCACTGTTTGGTTTCAGGGAAACAGGAATTTACCCTCTGCACCAATCCCCTCACTCTTTCCCATCAGCTTTGGGACCAAGTTCATGCTTTGTGAAGTTTCGTGTTGTGAAGGTTGGGTTGTTTTATCCAGTGCCAAGCTTGGATTAGTGGTCAGCTGATCTTACTTCTCCCACAACGCTGGGTATATAAGAACAGCCTTCATGGGGTGAAGGCAAGGTCTCCAGGCAAAGGCTGATTCGCCACCCTTTCTCAGACAAATTAAGGCAGTGTATCTGGGCGTGAGGTTGGAGATCCTGTTTGAAGACGACATTCTCGTGTACTTCTTATGCACAAATCGATGAATTTTGCTAACCACTGTCAAAAACAGAGGGAAATTTGTTAAGACCAAAAAATAAACCCACCACATATGGTGAGGCATGCCTGTAATCATAGCATAAAGGAGGCTGAAGCAAGAGAGCCGGGTGGTTAATTTGAAGCCAATATGGAGTTGGAAGTCAGCAGAGAGATTGTTTCTTGTAGAGAAAACAGCAAACCGAGGCCTCTGGCCTTGGCTTTACACTTGTGATCAAGACAGTGATTGTGACTCTGGTCCCCACAACTCCCCTCCATTGACCAGAAATGCACAGACTTATTGATTACATGGGAACCACACAATGCCAGAGATAAATTCCTAGCAAAAAGGGCTTTTTAAAAAATTATTCAGAGACCAGAGAGATCACTACTTATAGGGCCACTGGGATTCAGGTGACAAATATTGTATTCAACTAGAAATGTTCTAAAAAGGTGACATGGTTTTGAGCGCACTGGCATCGTGTTCAGAAAGTTTTCGGTCTCAGATTTTCACATTAGAAGTGCCTCGCCAGTGAAGTCTATGCAACGTCCCTAAATTGGAATGAATCCGAAACACTTCTGGTTCAAAGCATTTCAGAAGAGTTAACAAAGTGACATGGGGGAAACTTTCAAAGTAGTGGGTTCTTCAAAATGAGTAAAGGATGGCTTATTAAAATATGGATCGGCCTGACTTCCTAGATTTCTCAAAAAAATATGGATTGGCCATAGTTATCAATATATATATCAATATATATATATATATATATATATGAGAAGCAGAATACATCTCATTTTTGTAGTGCTAGGACACAAAATCAGGAGAGTTTGGAAAAGAGAGTACTGTTCCTTCCTCAGGAGCATGATAGTTGGGATGAATTAAAACAAGACACAAACTGCAATGTTACCAGTACATAGTCACATGTGACCCCTCTTAAGACTGATTTGTGGTTTAATTGAAAAAAATACCAAAAGTGCTCTTTTTCCAGTGAGAGGGTTCAGGCTGCTGTTGAGAGGTTAGGGGGCTGTTGGAAAGCATAAGCCTATTGCAGGAAAATTAAATTCAATTAAAAAAAAAAAACAAAAAAACCTTGAATCAGAAATGGCCTAGAATCAGGAACACGAGGCACAGGACATTTTAACAAGAACACATAACATTTTAATGAGGCAACCAATAGCCTCTTACTCTCTAATGGGCTGAAAAATATATTCAAGTTAGTTACTGTCAAGTACTGCACATGGCTTACTGGATTTTTCACTGAGTTTTACAGACCACATCAGTTCTAAGAGTCATGTTTTCTTTGCATTTTGCTTGCACGGGACAGGTCAGGGCCATGACAGTGTCTGCACCCTCTCCCTTCTATCCTATTCCGCACTCTATTTCACGCACATCTAACTCTACTCTCGCAGGTGCCAAACGTCTCTAAAAGTGGGATGATGCTCGTGTGGCTTTGGCATTGCCATGGCATAACAAACTTGAAGAAAGACTAATTTTAGCTAGCAGTTTCAGGAGAGTTCAGCCTGTGGCTGCCGGTTCCACATGCTCAAGCATCCTGAGGGTAGGATCATGTGGCGGGGCAGGCTCCTCGTTATTAAGCAGAAAGGCAGCAGACAGAAGAAAACATAGAGAAGACAGCGGTGTAGGATGTAGGTCCCAAGGAGAAGCTCTCAGTGTCCTGCTTTCTAGAGTACCTAGAGGCCCAGTCCTACCTACCTTTTGCCACCTCCCAATAGTATCATTATCTTGTGAGTTTATCAGGGGATTAATCTGGTTACTCAATCAGAGCCTCAAGTTCTAATCTTTCCTAGAGAAATTGTCACAGAAGTTCTAGGGTTGTGTTTCACCAATGTCCTGGGCATTTCTTCATCTAACAAGTTGACAAATAAGATTGGGTCCCACAGCTTATTTACCCAATGGGCCTAACTTGCCTGATATGGCTTCAGATGTGCCAAGTCCTAGGTAAAGTAGGATTGCCTAGTCACCCTAGTGTGGTACTAGCCAACAACACAGGCACACGGAATTAAAAAAAAAAAACAATAGAAACACGATGAAAATTTTACATTCTCTGTGACACTGGTTACATTTCAGGTGCCCAGTGACAATTTGTAGTCAGTCGCTATGCCACTGGTCAATGCAAAAATAAAACTGTCCACATTGTAGAAAGTTCCACAGGGGTAGTGCTGAGCTTGGAGGTTGTTCCTTGCAGTTTTGTACGGCTAGCATCCTTTAAAGCAGCGCACTAATCATGGATCGGGCCTTCTCCTATGATGAGGATAGTGCATCAGTGAGCACACAGGGCCCACTGTACCAGGAGGCCTGCAGTGAAGGGTTTTTCAGAGTTTCAACCAGGCTTTTGTCTCTGTGCCCTCGATCGGCTTAGCTCGCAGGAATGCATGAACACCTGCTGGCACTCAGTGGAAGTAGGGGCATGACATAACAAATATTTAATGTATCAGCAAAACACATCACTTGACCCTTTTTAAATCTGTCCACTAAGCATGACAGTCACGTTCATTGTCTTGCATTTATCGTATCTCCTTTGATGTGCTGTACTGCACAGCTGATGGCTGATGTGGCTCACAGCTGAGGGAGGGCCGCCATGAGGGAATCTGCTGTGGATAAATGGGTAACTTGTAACTCCATTGCAACCCTATCCCAAGCATCAGTTGGGTGACAGCTATGTCGTGGTCAGAAGTCAGAAGGGCCAGCCCTCTTCCCGAGGGCAAAGGCAAATTAGAATCAGAAGCAGAGATACACACTGCCTGGGTGTTTGAAGATCCGCTGCTGAATGACCTCGGTGTGTGCGCAGGGGTTTGTTCACTTCAAAAAATGTTATTGACAATAATAAAACCTGGTGTTTATTGGGAGCTTTCCAAAGGGCAGGCTCCGATCTGCACACTTTCCCTGGGGAAGTGTGAGGCAATACTATGGGAATCAGAGCACTGGAAGGAACCTTGGGGAAAAGGTGACGTTCCATTTCTGAATACTTCTAATAAAACCATCGTTTAAGCAAAGATAAACTCTCACAAATTATTTGTGAGAACCTTATAATAATGTAGATGATGGATTTTATTTTACTTTTTAGAATGATCATTTTGTTTTGGGAAATCTTAGGATTTTGAAAAAAATGCAACCATAGTACGCAAAGTTCCGATGGTCTAATGGGGCTCTGGGTTGAGATAAACACTGACTCAATTTCTGCCAATTATTTATCCTGGGAGCCTGGATCAGTCATTGAACTACTCATGTGCATACTCAGATGGATTTCTTCAACTGTCAAATGACACAGTACTGTGTGCCTTCATGTTGTAGGAAGCAAAGACACGAGCGACTGTGTGAGAAGTGCTTAGTTCACCTGAACCACTGGTGTGCTTAATAAACATCCCTTTTTATTTATATGAATGGCATATTTACTTTAATAATTTTATGAAAATCATACATAATATTAAATGGACACTTTCTTTTTATACTTACTATAATTCCCTTTTCTTTCTTAGTTCGTTCTTTTTCTAGGTAGAAGGAACTCTTGGGGTTCACATCAAGCCAGATGGATCCACCACTTTTTGTTTTGTATCATTAATGTCCTTTTTCCTATTTAAAGAGACAGAGGGAAGCTAGATTTGGGACACCCCTGTCTCTGTCATTCAGGATGGTTTAACAAAACACACTGTGAACTAAGTAGCTTATTTGGTCTACCAGAAACTTAATTCTGTACAGCCATGGGCGATGGGAAGCCCAAGGTTAAGTTGCCTGTCCGGTCCGTTATTTGTGAGGATGCTGACCCTGACCACATCCCCACATGGTAGGGAGAGAGGGAAAGGCTTTCTATGGTTTTTTCTTATAAGAGCATTGATCCTATCAGGAGAGTTCCCCAAAGACCCCATCTCCAAGTACCATCTCACTGGTCAGTGGAGTTCCAACATAAGGATTTGGAAACAGAGGGCACAGAGTCCGAGGCATCCATGCAGGGTGGGAAGATGGAATGTTCTAGTCTGTTCTGTTCAGGGACTCACTGGCAAGGGAAGGGGGATTATGTAGCACTGTCGTAGGAGCTCAAAGCCTGGGGACAGCGACTTTCTCTTTGGTGGAGCTACTGATGACCTACCATCTAGCTTCTTATTGTCTACTTCTGAGCTACAGAAATGGGTGGTGTGGTGGAGAAACTGGAGCATCACTGTACCCATTTCCCTTATGTTTCTCAGTTTATCAAAGTCATGTGGACCATTTCCATCTCCAAATAGAAAACAACAACGATGACAAGAACAAAGCAAGTTTCCCAATCAACTGTGGGATCTATGTAATGTGTACTTCTTTCATCATTGGTTTAACATCATGCCCACCACCTGATTTCTTAAGGACAATGGTTAAGTGAAACAGAGGTGCCTGGGAAGAAAGTAGAACACACAAGCGCACAAGTGTGGTTTCCTCAAAGAAAGAAAAGTCTATTAACTGATCATATTTGGGCTACATATTCAAAATTGGTATCTTGAGTCCCAAGAATTTGAAATGTTGTTGAATACATTTTAATTTTTCACATTTCTTTCTGTTCTCCTTAAAATCCTTTCGATGATAATTTGACCTCTGTTTTACCTAAAACAGAGATGTCAACACCAAACTGCTGTTCTTTGTACCCTACCTTTTATGACCTTAACTCACTAGCATGCTGTCTCATTCTATCTCTCAGACTTAATGATAATTTACCAACTTCAGACTTCAGGCCAATTTCGGTTGCCCTTTTCAGTTCCTGAGAAATACAGCAAGGGCTAGTGGGAAATTCTGGATCATCATGGTCTTAACGGAAAGCCCCAGATTAAGAATAAAGGTTTTCCTTAGTTTTGAAAGCTATTGTTGGCCTTAAGACAACTGAGACATATTCTTGGAAATGGTTCCCTCCGAATATTTTCTGGAAGGAATTTAGAATGTTAACAGTAGGGAGTCTCATGGCAGAACTGGTACTTTACCACGCTTTTGACGGAAAATGTATCTCCAGAATGTTCCTGTAGATGCACCTCCCAGGGCCATACAC